GACTGACCCAAAGTCACAAGCTAACTTTCATTTCAAGGAAAGATTTTTTTTTTGTCCCCAATGGCATTAGATAATCTCAAATTCTACTGCTTGTGGGGGAAAGTTTTTTAGTTCCTCTGCGAATGTCTCTCACTCTCTTTAGTCACCTTGTTTTACAGGTAATCCTTGAGTTATGGGCACACTTTTTAGAGGAACATGGAGTCGTGCCCAATTTTATGACCTTTTTTGTCATGGTTATTACGCAAATCATACAGTCATCTAGCGAATCCAGCTTCCCTCATGGACTTTGCTTGTCTTAAACCTCTTGGGTAGGTCACAAATGATGATCATGTGACAGTGGGATACAGCAATCATCATAAAAACGTGCCAGTTGCCAAGCACCAGAATTTTGATCATGAGACGGTGGGGAAGTTGCCACAGTCATAAGATTGAGGAACAGTTGTAAATCACATTTCTCAGTGCGCAACTGAATGGTTATTAAATGAACAGTCATAAGGTGACCACTACTTGTCTGAATGAAAGGTACCCAATTATTCAAATATTTATCATAGCATTGCTACTTCAATCTCCCATTCAATTTTAATATTCATATATCCTATATTTTCAAACTGTAATTTATCTTGAGAATTTCCATGCAGTATTATAAACATGATAACTAGATTTGAGTGGGATTATTAAAATATGTTTTCAGGCTTTTTGCAGTGTTAAATTTCCTTCCTGGTATAATATACTATAATTTTTTAAAGAATCTTATCAGGTGCTTGCCTATAATTATGCTTATCTTTTGCTTGATGTATATCACATTGCACTAGTTTGAATAGAAATTTCAGTTTCATTCCACTTCCAAGCAGGCAATTTTAGAGAAAAGAGTTCTTCAAGGCTTTTTCTGCCACTGAGAGATTTTATCATGCTGAATAATTTGATATATCTGTAAATAGGAGTATTTTATTAGTTACGGTACTCTTAAATATATATAGTATATGTAACATTTAGTGATTTATTTAGTGAAATAATTATTTATTTAGTTTTATCAATTTAGATTTCTTTGTCAGAATATGTGCACTTTATCCCTGTAAACCAGCCATATTGATGTTGCCATTTTGTCAGTTAACAAAATTTGTTGTGATTGTTTAAATTTATGGTATAGATTTTTTTCAAGACCCAATCCTCAGTTCTGAGTTTTACTGGTTTAATACTTAAAATTACTTCACATTCAAGAAAATTTCCTATTTTAAATTACAGCAATTTTCTGAACATACTATTGAACTTTTTTCTGTTTCTAAGCAATTTATTTGTTTCTATCCTGATTAGATCCTATATATGATTTGGGTTTGAATAACTCACCCTTTCTTTAGAGGCGCTGATCTAATTGTAGATTACAGTTGATCTGCACTTATGCTCACAGCAGGATTAAAATGGAATACAGATTTAGCCTAATCCACCATTCCACTGTGAACCTGGAAGGTTGTACATATCAGAGACTGTCTATATGTAATCATTTCCAGAAGACTGTCATGTAAGTTGTTGCTACAAAATAAAAAGCTGAAATGCCTGAAAATTGTTATGACATGACCTTTCGAGGACAGTCATCAATTTCATCTGTTGCACATGTACAAAAGCTTCATGACACTTTTGTATTTCATTGATATCTGAGGCCTTTCAACAATGGAATTGCCTCTCAATTGTCAGAGCGACTAAAAAGAATGAGACAAATGAGCGGTTGCAAACATAAAAAATAAGTGGAGCTTTGATCCCACCATTGCTGCTGCTATCTTGCCTATGGACATTTCAGGAAGACACAGATAGTCCTTGACTTACAATGATAATTGAGCCCAGAATTTGGGTTGTAAGTCATTGCAGTCATTAAGCAAGTCATCACATGGTTGTTAAGTAAATCCAGCCATATCTAATAAGCATTTTTTGCTGCATTCTGCTGGGGGAAAATAGCAAATCATGGTGACATGACTGTGCGATACTACAGCTGGTCATAAATGCGATCTGGTTGCCAGCGCTTGATACACAATCATATGACCACATAGGAAGGTGTGTGGCAGTCATAACTTCAAGGACAGCTTGTAAGTACCTTTATTGAAGATCATCAAAACTTCAAAGGGTCATTAAGCAACCAGTCATTAAGCAAGGGCTATCTATAGTTGCTATTACCTTTCTTTTCTTAGTTTCATAAATATAACAAAACTATGTTGTGTCTTTGATTTATGATTTTATTGGAGTTTATCAATATAAAGTGAGGTCACATTCAGTACTCTAGGTGTCTATTTTTATACTGGTCTCATCCTAAATTTTTGTTTTGGATACAGTAGAACTATGAGTTATTATTTCTGGGTCAGCATTTCTGATATACCCTAAGTTATTGAAGGAAACTCACTTGTAGAGATTAGGGATTCTATTCATTTGTTGCATAAACAACAAACTTCAATTGCCAAGTTATTCTATGAATTCACTGTAGTTTTAATTGTCTGATCATTAAGCAACAGAGACTCCTCCTCCTCTTATTGTTCCCTACGCAGTTTCTCTTCCACTCATCCCTCAAGATCATTCTTCCGTATGATTATAATTTAGGAACAAGATTTGCTTTAATACTGACATGCACATTTAACTCTAAAATTTTGGTTTTCTAGTTTATGCAAGGCTGATATTTTATTATTACAGGCACTTTTATCACTGTGTTATTTAAATAGTTAGATCCTTTGTCCTTAAGGCTATTTTCAAGGATTGAATGTCAAGTCAAGTCTGTTACTATGTTAGCAAATTATTTTAGTGATAATTTGAATCTTTTATTATTATTATTTTACAAAGTCAAAAATAAATCCACGGACCAGAATTTGATGATTGAAGTCTTGTTTGTTCACTTGTAATTTTCATAATTGTTTATGAAGCAATATATTGCTTCTGTTTGGTAGCAGCATTGTTTTGATGATTATTAAAATGCCATTAACTCTTGACATAAGTGTGCCAAGCCTTTTTAAATACTTTATAATTAAACACTAGAACCTGTGCCAAAAAAATATCAATGAGCCTGTGTATTGCTAGTTGAAATAAGCCAAACAAGCCAATTGTAGGATTCAAGGGTTACCTGTTGAAAATCAAATTCAATTGGCAAGTGTTCTATAAAAGAAAGCTTTACAAGTAACTAAAAGTAATTCTTTGTCCTACTCATGGGTACTGTTTCTTTATTAAGATGACTGAAATTAAAACAGGGAAACATTGCTGGTAGATACAGAGCTGAATTAGTCAGCCTTCTAATTATTTAATGAGTTAGGAACTGGTAATTGGATTATTCAAGAGGAATGTTAGCTCTTACTCAATTCTTTGTAAAGGGATCTAGGATGATCATGTCACACTTCACTTGTTAATTCACAATAGACTTTCATTTGCTCAGCATATTTTATGGGTGGCCTGTAGCTGTTTCCATATGAAATAGCTTGTTTTACCTCAGTAAAATATGACTTACTCCTTCTGAAAATGTTTTGGTTGCTTTTGTTTTGTTCAGGTGCTTTTAGTTGTTCAATACCATGTGACAGTATACCACATGAGGTATTAGAACATGGTACTTACCAGATCCTTGAGGTGATACACAGACACACACACCTGTTAAAAATTTCTATTCTCATGGCATTTCACAAAAATACAAACTGCTAGCATATATTATATAGTTACCAATAAAATGTTCTGGATTAATTCATTAGTAAATAAATGTATTTATAGTGGAACAACTTGAAACTATTATACCATAATGGTATTACACCTGAATGTCCCTCTGATTTGAAGTGAAAATGTAGAAATAAAAAAAAAACTGTAGCGCTGAAAGCTATTGCTGCAAATCCATATTTATTATAAATTTAAGCAAATTGTGCAAATATTCAATGAAGCTATTACACCTTCTTTATAACAGCGTAGCAAAATCATAAATTGGAATGTCCCAATGGTTTATCTGTATTGCTAGTAACATTTAGGCTAATATATGGACTATGGTCTATATGGACTAAGAGCCTTGGTGGTGCAGCGGACTAAGTGCTGTTATGTAGCACTTACCTGCCAGCTGCCTGCAATTAGTGCGAGTCCAAATCTCACCAGGCTCAAAGTTGAGTCAGCCTTCCATCCTTCCGAGGTAGGTAAATTGAGGACCCGGATTGTGGGGGCAATAAGCTGACTTTGTAGAAACACCACTTATGGGGGGCCAAAAGCCCTAATAAGCAGGTATATACAAAAGAATGAAGGCTATTGCTATAAGTGCATTGTAAGCCGCCCTGAGTCTTCGGAGGAGGCCGGCATATAAATTGAACTAATAAATAAATAAATAAATGTTGTATTTCTTCAGTCCCAGCCAGCCATTTCTTCAGTTCATAAAGCATAGTCCCTCTACAAAAGTTTGTCCATCATGACATTGTTAGGCATTTGTCACATTTTTCCAAAATAGAAAAGCATATAAAGATTTTACTTCTTATGTATTTCTGATGCATTTACTTCTTATTTCTGAACTATGGACTTTAATCAGCAAAATTACAAGGTGGAGTTTGAGCTTTCATCTAATTGTAGAACAGACTATATATATTGTACATTATCTGGGTTATAAATCGCAAAAACAGATAATAGGTCAATGTAGAATCTACAGATTCTGTAATCGCATGATGCATAAAAGCCCTAAAAATGTTGTGATAAAACTGCAGTAACCTGTTGCTTAGCTAATCACTATTATAGTCAGAGATGGACTAAATTTATATGGTGCAGATATCTGTTGTGTACTTCGATTTCCCAATTGATTTTTTTGTAGATCTGCAGTTGAGAACCAGTGATATAAAGCAGAAAATATTAAATGGATAGTGACACATTTCTAGTTGTAATGCTGCTACCCAGTATCCCTATAAAAGATGCCAGTAGCAATGTAGCTCTTTAATAAAAGAAATACTTGCATTTAGAAGTATTTGATTAGCTGTTAAAATTACTTTGAACAGTCTTTCATGTGGATATATTTGTTTTAGTTTTTATGCAGATTTTGGACCTCTAAACTTGGCTCTGGTGTATCGATTCTGCTGCAAATTAAACAAAAAATTAAAGGTAAGAATGTTCTTTTATTATTTTTTAATTGATCTTGTTAATCTCTGTAAACTTCCAGAGGTATAGGTGAGTGCTTGGCTTTGGTAATTGATTTTTTAAAATAGTAATTTTATAAAAATTACACTGAACAATAAAAATGAATACAAACTAAAAAAAGAAAAAGAATAGTAGAAGGTGCAGAAAAGAAGAAAAACAAATATTTTAAAAATGAAAAAATATAGTAAAGAAATATATAAAGAAATGATTTCCTCCTTCATAACAAGCATAAACAATTTTAGTAACATCACCTTCTCTTAAAATGTAACAAATGATTTCTTATTCCCATATCCCATTTCTTATTTAAGGAAAAATATTTGTAACTCATGATTGAAATGAGGGGTCCTTAGAGGTTTCTGAGCTTGGTGGTTTTCTTATAGACATTTTATTGCCCAAACTAGCGCATGGATGATGTTATCTGGTTTGAATAATGGAATGTCTGCAAGAAAACAACCAAGTTCAAAGAGTGCCAAGTACCCTTCCTCTCTTATTTATAAACAAATCCTTGTCAATCCAGTTCTCATGTCAGCAAAAGTTCATGAAGTGTTTCCAGAGACAATAACATATCTATTTCAACCTTTATCAAATTAACTAATTTTATATTCCTTCCTTTTAACAATTATTGATCTTTAATTCCTTCAAATAGTGTCCTAAATCTTAATTCCTTTCCAATATTTTTTATTCCTTCTCACAGAATTATTCAAACTTCTAACAACATTCTTTTGTAAATCAAATAAAGGAATATTGTCCAGATCACGCTCTGTGTTTGTTCTTTGTATATCTCCTTTACTTATAAAGACATCAGCTGGTTCCTTTTGTAGGTCCAGTGTAATATATTTTTTCATGTTACTTTTGTAGCCTGTGATTTTTAAACCCTCTTTCAAATCAGCCTTAATCTTGTCAGGGAAAACTTGCTTCTTTTAAGGTATTTTAAACATAGTCTAGATAGAGAGGCAGACACTCTTATAATTAAGTTCTGCATCCATTGTTCAAAAATAAACTTCAGTATCTCCAATGTTAGAATATTCTGCTTCATTCTATATTTGTAAATCAAATTTAAATTTTCTTCTCCTTTAATTATAATCTTTAGTTCCTTCTAGTTCCCTCTAGTGTCCAACCATCAAAGTCTGTATTATGTTTTTTAAAAAAGAATTTAAAAGAAGTATTTTCCCACAGAAAGGTTCTTATTTCAAATCCATCTGTACCCTTAGTTCGTTTGTGATTTTTAATCACCTTTTTGCCTTTTATTAAAAAAACAAATTAGGTCCCTAAACTTGTATTTAAAAGTTTTTCTGCTAAGGATTTGTCTTCCCCCAGAAGCTAAATATCAAACCTGTATAAATTAATATGCTTCTCTATCATAATACCCAGATGGATCAAAGAAGCAGCATTATAAATAAATAAGCGACTGATGGCATGCTATATTTGTGAAGGTGGGTGAGCTGAAGGCTCTGTAAAGAGTCTGTCCGCCAAACTCCAATCAATATGTTGTGTTGTAATTAGTAGAGCCTTCCCAATATTATAGTACCCTAATAGAAACTGTGGTTTCTCCATCTTTTAATGAAAGTGGGAGAGGCTGTTCTAGGAATATATAAAAACTTTTAAAACAACTCTATTGCTGTCCAAAGTTTTCATATTTTGCCCAATAAGACAAAAATTCTATATAACTTCACTTAATTCTTAGAGGAAAGTTATTTTGGTTAATTACTGTTAGAAGAACTTGCTAGAGGAAAATAAATTGTGCATGTTCTGATCAGTTCCTGCATCATGTGTGAAAGCACGTGATAAGTGCACATGTTCCATTGTAAATATTCACCACCTATCTAATCATTTAAAGATGTATGAAATACCATCGCTGAGATCATTTAGGGTAAATATTCTGAGCAGATAAATTTAATTTTTCTAAATAAAGCAAAAAACTTTTGTGCTACAAAAAAGAGCTGATTTACATTTATTACCTCACTGAAATATTAAAGCTGTACAAATTTTTGTTTCCTTGGGCATTATAGTGCAGTTCCACACAAATATCTTGGGACTGTGCCATGAATTCTAGATAAACATGAATAGGATTGGGGCTGCATATTAACTAAACGTTCAATATATTGCTTCATGTGGAGATTAGATCCTTTTAATGATGATATGAACAGTATATTTGCTAAGAACGTTAAGATCTTGTTCTTTAAAATCATACTTGAATTAAACTCTCACCTTGTTTGCTCATGTGCAATACAAAGATTTTCCTTGATAAGGGAGTTGTGTAAAATGTATGTAATCGCTCGTTCTTACCACCTAATAAAAAGATGAAAAAGTAGTCCTCAGGTTATGATGGCAGTTGGGAATGGAATTTCCATCACCAAAGGATGTCCTAATGTGTGACATTCCATGACTACATCACTTACTGATGGTAATACCAGCAGTCCCCAATGCCGTCATTATGGCAGTTTGTTAAGCAAGGACCCCATGTGACCACAATCTGGAAAGAAGCAATGAAATCGCATCCCAGGGAAGCAGGGTGACAGGACTATGGAGTATGAGCTGGTGGCCAGTTGCCATGGTGGGCGCTACAGTATACGGATAGATGGACAAGCACTAAGTGCAGGTGGGCACTACAGAGAATGAGATTCCCATAATCCCCCAGGAATTCTTCAGGAGAAAAAGCAATGAGAGTAACTTTCTGATTTGTGACCTCCTGCTGGCTTCCTCATTGACTTTGTTTCTGGGAAACCTGTAGGGCAGGTCACAAGTAGTGGTCTGGTAGTTAAGGCGCCAGGCTAGAAAGGAAGTTATTTAAATGTATAATAAAAGCAACAAAGCAACCTATTTTTATGGTTTCAGTTTCTCATATCAGTGGTGATTTAAGCATAAAAACTAGTAAGTAATAAAAGAATATATCATGCAAATTCATGCTTAGCATTCATAAATATCTATATGCATTATGTTTATAATGTAGAACTCTATTGTTACAAAAACCGTTTTTCAAAAGAATTGAATAAAAGTCATCTTATTTACTAGAAAAATAGTGTACTATATATGAAGTACGTAGGATGATTTGTGAAACTTGTGAGACTTGCAAAATTCACTATATTCTGTTTTAAAAAAATAGAATTCTAGACGTTCTATGGTCTGTCTTGTAGGGCTGATACTACCCTCTTGTGGGAAGCCCACTGACAAAACATGAGTGCGATTGCATCCTTCTTCCTATTTGCTAGTATTGAGATATATATTGCCTCTCATACAGGTAGTCCTTGACTGACAACCACAATTGAGGCCAAAATTTCTGTTGTTAAGTGAGACATTTGTTGAGTGAGTTTTGCCCCATTTTATTATCTTTCTTGCCACAGTTGTTAAGTGAAGCACTGCAGTTGACAAGTTAGTAACCCGGTTGCTAAGTGAATCTGGCTTCTCCATTGACTTTGCTTGTGAGAAGGGCGCAAAAGGTGATCACATGACCTTGGGACACAGCAATAGTCATAAATATGAATCAGTTGCTAAGCATCTGAATTTTGGTCACATGATCATGGAGATGCTGCAAAAATGATAACTATGAAAAACAGTCATAAGTCACATTTTTCAGTGCTGTGGTAACTTTGAATGGTCAATAAACAAACTGTTGTAAGTTGAGGACTACCTGTATTCCAAATAAATTATAGCTATCAAGACCAGTGTTTAGAATTAATGCCTGTTCCTGCTTATTCTGAATACTAATTTCTTTAACATATTGCTAATATATTTCAGTTAATGTTGGGTGGATTTAGAAAAACATCTCCCTGTTTCATTGTCCTACTTTTTATTTGTACAAGAGACTTAAGATTCAATATGGATAATTTTCTACTATACAGTAAAGAACAAATTGAAAATGCAGCCAGGCAGATGATTTACATGATTTAGACCAGGCATGTCCAACCCACAGGCACATGTGGCCCTGGACAGGATTCTGGGCAGACTGAACGCGACCACATGTTTGTTGGACCCGTGTCCCTCCTGGTTAGTGCTGGCTTCCCGGGAGGTGATGCGAGGCTGGCTCCAGGGGATTATAAATGCTTCATTGGGTGAGGGTGACTTCCCTGCCGCCTTGAAAGAGGTGGTGGTGAGGCCTCTCCTCAAGAAGCCTTCCCTGGACCTGGCAGTGTTGGCAAATTATTGTCCGGTCTCCAACCTTCGCTTTGTGGCGAAGGTTGTTGAGAGTGTGGTTGCGTGACAGCTCCCCCAGCACCTGGATGAAACAACGTATCTGGATCCGTTCCAGTCGAGCTTCAGGCCTGGGTACAGCACGGAAACGGCATTGGTCGTGTTGGTTGATGATCTCTGGAGGGCTTGGGACAGGGGTTGCTCCTCTGTCCTGGTCCTATTAGATCTCTCAGCGGCTTTTGATACCATCGACCATGGTATCATGCTGCACCGGTTGGAAGAGTTAGGGGTGGGGGGCACTGTGTTGCGGTGGTTCTCCTCCTTTCTCTCCGACCGGTTGCAGTCTGTGTTGGCAGGGGGGCAGAGGTTGACCCCGAGGCCCTTCCTATGTGGGGTGCCACAAGGATCGGTCCTCTTGCCCCTTTTGTTCAACATTTATGTAAAGCCGCTGGGCAAGATCATCTGTGGTTTCGGGGTGAAGTACCACCAGTACGCTGACGACACTCAGCTGTACATCTCCACCCCGGACCACCCCACTGATGCCCTTGAAGTGATGTCCCGGTGCCTGGAGGCCGTGCGGATCTGGATGGGGAGAAACAGGCTCAGGTTCAACCCATCCAAGACCGAGTGGCTGTGGTTTCTGACGTCCCGGTATAGTCAGTTGATGCCATCACTGACTATTGGGGGCGAATCGTTGGCCCCCACGGAGAGGGCTCGCAACTTGGGCATCCTCCTGGATTCACGGCTGTCTTTAGAAGAGCATTTGACGGCCGTGACCGGGAGGATTTTTCATCAGGTTTGCCTGATTCGCCAGTTGCGTCCCTTTCTGGATCGGGACTCCTTACTCACGGTCACTCATGCCCTTGTCACTTCCCGCCTGGACTATTGCAACGCTCACTACATGGGGCTCCCCTTGAGGAGCACCCGGAAGCTCCAACTAGCGCAGAGTGCGGTCGCGCGGGTGGTTATGGGAGCGACATGGCGTTCTCATGTAACACCTCTCCTGCACAAGCTGCACTGGCTCCCGGTGGTCTTCCGGGTGCGCTTCAAGGTTTTGGTTTTCCACCTTTAGAGCGCTCCATGGCTTAGGACCTGGTTACCTACGGGACCGCCTGCTGCCACCATTAGCCTCCCACTGGCCGGTACGCTCTCATAGAGGTACGCACTCCTCCGGGTGCCGTCGGCCAAACAATGTTGACTGGCAGCCCCCAGGGGGAGAGCCTTCTCTGTGGGGGCCCCTACTATCTGGAATGAGCTCCCCCCGGAGATACGGAGGATCCCGGATCTGCGCACCTTCCGCCATGCTCTTAAGACCTTTTTATTCCATCAGGCTGGCCTGGCCTAATCTTTTCCCTTTTTTCCCTTTTTAAAATGTAAATTTTAATCTGTTTTAAATTATGGGGTGTTTTAAATCTGTATTGGGCCAAATTGTTTAATTCGGTTTTACTTTGCTTTTAAATTTTGTATTTATGTGTTTTATCTGTGGCTGTTCACCGCCCTGAGTCCTTCGGGAGTAGGGCGGTATATAAATCAAATAAAATTTAAAATGAAATGAATGAAAATAATGAGGCCCCATAAGATTGTAAACATTTAATATTATTATGTGATTGATATACGTTAACTATGTTACATATTTTATATGTCACTGAAGATAATTCCTCTTCACTCGATGTGATCTAGACCAGTAGTCCCTAACCTTTGCAGCTTGATGGCCAGGTTGGTGGGGGAGAGGGGAACTGGGTCATGCGAGCGATGGGCTGGTGTGCATATGCACACAGATCGATGTTTGCAAGTTGAGTTGTGCACGGGTGTGCATGTGCACCGGCCCACTGCTTGTGCAAGTTGCGCTGTGTGCCCCTGCACCAGTCTGCCACTCACGCAGCCCAGTTCCGAATAGGCCATGGCCGGGTAGTGGACTGTGGCCCAGAGGTTGTGGACCCCTGACTTAGACAAGCCAAAATTTGGATGCCTATGATTTAGACATTTAATTCTGAAGCACAGTAATCTTAAAGGAAGAGTTGCCTTAGAATTCATGAGATAGAAGCGGGTGGATATTCTGATTCCCTACCCCTAAGATAATATTCAGACTAACAGAGGGATTTAAGAATTGCATGCAAAGAAGAAATATTCCCATTATATGGGGGAGGGGGTTAGGGAGCAGTTTCTTTATACTCTGGTTTAAAATTGATCAGGATATAACCTGATTTAAAGGACATGCTAGTAGAAGTCTCTTAAGCTGATGAGTCACTGAGCTGAGACATTTGGCATGATTTTGTGGTCTCTCCTAATCTTTTTATTTATTTGTATCTTAAACAGTCTTTCAGTCTATCAAGAAAGAAAATTGTATATTATACCAGCTTTGACCAACGGAAAAGAGCAAATGCAGCGTTTTTAATAGGTGCATACGCAGTAAGTATCAATGGCCATGTGCATTTCTAATGAGAAGTTGCTGATACTTCAGTCTCTAAATAGATACTGCAAAAGCTAGCATCCCTGCTTTTTCAGGATTTTAAGAGTCAGAGCAAGAAGGTTCTGGAAAGAAGCAGTTCCCATTTGCATTTTTAAGCGTCTCCCAACCATAAAAATATTGCCTCAATTATACTTGGGAGGGGATGGACATGATCTGCCTCCCACGGGCTTCCATACTCAGTCCCATCATTTATCTCCCTCCCACCCCCCCACAGCCATTTAGAGAATTGCAAGAGAGATTTGAAGGGTGGAGTTGGGAGCAGGAAGATTATGCCATCAACATAAAGTGGCAAATTATTGCTGAATTCTGATGAAGTTTTCTTGCTAAATTATAACATCAGGACCGTGGGGTCTGCAGGCTCATTCTTGTTTTACACAAGTTTGGCATTTGTTTTCTTGTAGATGTTTTACCTACCTTTTTAAAATTAAGAAAAGTTGATCAAAATTGTAGAACTTGCAAAAAAGCTAGTATTTTGTGATTTAAGGGTGTTATGTTTAACAACATTCATGTAGGTCTTTATTAATATACAGTGCTCTTAATTTAAACAGGTAATATGTACATATCCTGTTGGCTTTGTATTTATAATAAATACAATCTAGCATTACTCTGTACTGTAATTAGCACTTCACTATGCTATACAATAAATGTGCTACAAAATGATGCCTCTGTGTTGACTGAATGAAGTAAAATGGAATTATGAATAACTTTTCATATAAATAGCTCATGTTCTTAATCTTTTAAGATAATCATGTTAATTTAAATAAATGAGTTTATTATGAAGCAGCAAAGCATGTTGCAAGCAAATGAATTAGTAGAACTTTAATTTTATCTGTGTGTTGAAGAAAGCAAGGAATAACAGTATGAGAACTATGTTTGCCTTGAAAATGATTCACAGTGAAAAGGCAGATGAGATAGTTCAGTCACTGGTCTTGTGTTGTGTGAGTAAGCTGCCTATCCTCTTTGGCATCTAATCTTCATCCAGGTTATTTAAGGGTTCTGGTACAGATTTTTCCTAGTCCTCCTACAGGAAACCCTTTCATTTCAGATAAACTAGGCCAAGGCCAAATGTAGTATCTTGGGAGTAGCGTCTTGTTTGTCCATTGCAAACTGTAACACAACACAATGCAATTTTACTGGCATTCTGTATCTCTTTTTTAAATTTAAACCCTTCTGTTGAAAATTCTAAGTATTTTGATATAAACATTCAGCGCAATAATAACAAAGCAATTTAAATCTATATTAATATTATTTCCCCCCCTGTTTATTTATAAGCAGTGTTGTATTCAGTGCATACAATTTGAAATAATACTAAATAAAAGGACATCCTAAAAAGTGAAAAGCTTAGGATAAACTTTTACTCGATTTTAACAAATCTGTGCATAGTCGTCTGTATTAGTAGATATCTGTATCTGCTATTCAGGGATGTGAACAAATTGGGTGTCTTAGAAAGGATATTTTACAAGTGATGTTGTATTGTGGGGAGGATAAGCAAATACAGAATCCAGGCAAGTAACCAAACAATAAATCAGCATAGCTGAGATTTGTTCCTGACAATATAGAGGCTGCTGGTGATGAATAATCCAAATAAACATTAAAGAAGAGCAAGTCCTATCTATAGAATCAACATTCATATTCAGAGTAAATTTTTCTAATTAATTCTGATTTGGCAATTTCCACAGAAGTTTATCTTTGAAACTCATGCTAGAATATGATGATTTTAAAAGATCTGTTCCAGTATGACTGGGAGAAATGCTTTCCCACTCATTTCTCTACTAATTTTTAAAATATCTAGTAAATGTTTAATTGTCCTGAAATACTAGTTCTGTTTCCCCATGTGAACAGTAGAAGAACATTTGAAGGGTATTTCTGACAGCTGATGCAGCATGCAAGAGCCAAGACTTTGATTTCCCTGATTATTCAGGGAAAATTTGTGCTTAACAGCAGTGAGTTATGTGAAACCCATACTTTCATAGGAAGATCATTTTCAAAGATGATTGTAGATTCTTAGTGAAATATGAAAATTAAAAACTGATAGGTAAAATTTTGCTGCAGATGTCTTAGTTTAAACACCACTCATTTAGCAACCTTTTAAATTTACAATGATACCGAACAAGTGGTGGTTAGGACTTTCCTCAGAGTTTCTGACCTGGCAATGTCCCTGCAGTTATTCGACTATGATCTCGTTGCTCAGCATCTGGTTCGCAATTACAACATCATAACAAGCCATGGTCACATGATTGCGATTTCCAATGATCCTGCTGGCTTCTCACAAGCTAAGTCAATGGGAAAGCCAGCGGGAAATCAAAAGTCATGATCCTGTGAGCACCTCTCTTAATGACTTCCACAATCCTCGCTTAACAATGGCAATTGAGACTGTCTGGCTAAGAAGCAGGATCACATAATGTTGTGCTTTATAACCACATTGCTTAACAATGGCAGATCTAGTCCCCATTCCCATCTTAAACTAAAGACTACCTCTATTCTACACTTAAAAATGTATTCTTATTAATTAATTCATCGCTTTCTTTCTATTAGCTCAGTTCTATGCTTGCACTCACTGCATCATAGTGAATTATTGTGTGCACTCTTTTTGAAACATGTTTAAGACATTTTTTGTTCTTTCTAGATATTTCTGTTCTTTCTTTCTATGCTGTGGACTCTTGTACTCTGTTCTTTTTTGTTTAAGAAGCTGAATAATGAAAATTACTGTTTAATTACTTGTCAGTGATGTAATACTTTTTTAAAAAAAATCTGTAGACTCATCTCTAATTTTACAGCCTTAATGCAGGCAACAAACAGAAATCAGGTGCAAGTTTTTGATACCATTTAATTATGGTTTTGGCAAGCAGAGCGAAAGCTATGTAGCCCAATTTAAATGTTGCAAGCAATGTGTAGATGCAAGATAGATAATCTTGTAGTAGGATCGGTATTCCCAACCAACAAGCAGAATCCTGTTTCTCAGATTGGGTGAGATCTGTACATTTTTCAAGGAATAATTTTGGCTGATTTACAAGACTGATTGTTACAGCTACATCATAGCATATATTACATTTCTTTTTGAGGAAAACAGAGTTGCAACATTCATGCACTTGCGGCAATAACCTTGAGTTGAATTAAAAACACGCAGCATTGCATAATCATAATGTTTAGTAAACATTTTTCTGATACTTGTTTTGCATATATATTATATATTCTTAGCTATGTTAGAATTATTGTACTGCCTTAATGCTAAAGTATTGTGTCAAATGAGATTTGGTAAATACTAGATTAAATGCTGCAAATAGACCTTCTTATGGTGTCTGTGTGTTCGACACTGGAAGACACTGTAATTTCCTAATTTTTTCTGAAACCTACATTTTAATGATTGTCATTTGTAATATAATTGGCTATAAAAATGTAACCAAGGGTTCTTTTTTTCCTGTTCCTATCCAGTTGTTAGGACAGTGCTCTTATCCACACATTTGATATTTGATACTAAAGAATATGAAATCCCATTGATAATGCTTTTATTGTGTCTAAGTATTATATATTCTAGTCTAGTTTCATCCATGAATTTTTACTTTGTAGATTTCTCACAGAGAACAACATTTCAGGAAGGAGGTCATTTATCCCGAATTTAAACTTGATTAACATAGAAATTAGCCACCTTGAGTCTTCGGAGAACGGAGAAAGGCGGCAAACAAGTTGAACAAATAAAATAAATAAATAAATAAATAAATAAAATTGATGGTATCAGTCACTTTGAGTGAGGCAACTACAATATGTTGGCAGTCAAGATAAATAAGGAAGGAAAAGCTGAGGAAAAAGCAATCACATTCTTTGGATTTCAAGAAAGCCACTTCTGGTGAATTCAGATTAAAAATAGCAGGACAGGTAGTCCTCGGTTTATGACCACAATGGAACCCAACATTTCTGTTGCTAAGCGAGACAATTGTTAAGTGAGTTTTGCCCCATTTTGCAACCTTTCTTGCCACAGTTGTTAAGTGAATCACTGCAGTTGTTAAATTAGTTAGTGACAGAGTTGTGAATCTGGCTTCCCTATTGATTTTGCTTGTCAGAAGTTTACAAAAGGTGATCACATGACTCTGGGACACTACAACCGTCATAAATATGAGTCAGTTGCCAAGCTTCTGAATTTGATCTCATGACCATGAAGATCCTGCAAGGGTCGTAAGTGTGAAAACAGTTAAAGTCACTTTTTTTCAGTGCCATTGTAACTTTGAACGGTCACTACACAAACTGTTGTAAATCAAAGACTATCTGTATAACATGAAAATATAAAGGATAAATAAACCAAAGAAATAATGGAAAAAGGTTGGGTATAAATAATTCTCATGAGAAAAGAAGATTGGCAAAAGTATTAAAGGTCTATCTTACTGTTAAGCCAGAGGCATGAAGGAAAGGAGCATTAGGAGAAAAGGTAGGTTTTAACTGAAATAAATTATAAAAACTTCTTGGTAAATGATAATGCAACACCTGGAAGTAAGTATTGGGTGGGTTTCCCCCAGACCAGGGGTCTGCAACCTTAAACACTCAAAGAGCCATTTGGACCCGTTTCCTACAGAAAAGAAAACACTGGGAGCCACAAAACCTGGGTGGGCATGGCCAACTCGACGTCACTCACGCCCACCCAGTCACATGACACCCCCACCAGCCATGCCTACCCAGATTTTGTGGCTCCTGGTGTTTTCTGTGGGAAACGGGTATCTCTCTCTCCCTCCCTCCCTCTCATCTCTGTCTCTGTCTCTCTGTCTCTGTCTCTCTGTCTCTCTCTCTCTCTCTCTCATCTCTTTCTCTCTCCCTCATCTCTCTCTCTCCCCAAAGTCGCGTGTCTCCCTGAGCGACTGAGGTGCGTGCAGCACCAACACGGGCCAGAAGAAGAGGCAAGTACAGGGCCACTTCGCTTCCGCTCTGGAATATGGAGCGAGTCTCCATCCTCCGCCATCGCCCTTACCTTCTGAATGAAGCTCTTTCGTCCCCCTGCTGTGGCGAGGAGTGGAGCCAGCCAGTGGTGGGATCCGGTTCAGCAGGGAGCCACAGCAGCTCCAGAGCCGCGGTTGCCGACACCCGCCCCAGACCCTTTGCTATTCAAATTTGTAAATTTGTAAATTTTCTAGAGGACAGAATGGAAGGGATTTTTATCATTTTTGAAAATAACAAGTTTAGTGAGATTATAACTTGGAGGACAAAATCACGATTCAAAATTCGCTTGGCATGCTTGAATGTTGGATCAAATTCAGTAGGAGGATATAAACAGTTGTAATTGTTGAGAACCTCTGCATCGTGGAAGGCAAAATCAGATGCATGGATCCGGTAGAGGAATGCATAGATACAATATGCAAGTTATAGTATATATGAATATTCCTTCTGGAAAAATATTTGGTAAAAGTCAATCCTGGAGGCAAATATTAGGTTGTTCGCCCCAGATATAACAGCTAAAAAGACCAATGCATTCAGAGAATCATTGTTTCAGGATCATGGGAGATAATAGTTCCTTTGCATTTATCAGACTGCTCTTGAAAATATGTCCAATTCTGGACATAATACTTTAAAAGGAACATGGAAAAATTGGATTAGATTTAGAATAATGTTTTACGATGACAATTGTCTGAAAGACTGGGGTGAAAACTGTCTCTATATATTTAAAACACTGTCATATGTTGGAAGGAGCAGACCCTTCTCTGTTGAAACTTTAAGCAGGGCAAGACCCAATTGGATGAAACTAAATGAAACTAAATGAGCTGAATATCAGGAGGAATTTCCTGATAGAGTTATTAAACATGGAGCAATCTGCCTAGAGTTCCCTCAATTAAGGTTTTCCTACAAGGTCTGGATGGCCACTTTTAGGGATGGTTTAATGAATTTCTGCAATAAATGTTGGATTAGGTAATCTATTTTGGAATTTCAAACTCATATTCTGATTTTAGGAAGCTTACATATGAAAAAAGGAGTTGGATAAATATTTCTAAGAAAGGCTGTACATATTATATAATAATTAGGAATTAAATTCAGATGATGCAAATGAAGCCACACATTCACACAGTATCTTTTAATTGCATTTACACGGTTATGCCTTATTTTGTCAGAATTCTTCTTGATTCAGGAACCTTTCAACTTAATATTACAAGCGTGTTATATAGTCTTGACTGCAAAATTTGTTAAGATAAAAGTAATTGATTTTGAGGTGGGCAAGTGTTTTTATTTTAAGAGAATTCTGAAAATACTCATTAGGCTATAACTGAAATATTGGAACTGTTTTAAAACAGTTATTGAACAGGTTTATGATATGGAAGCAAACCATTTTGAAAGTGCAGATTCTAAATAATCTTGTTTAAATTCTCTGTATAACTTTATATTTCTATACTGTATAATCTTTTAGGGAAGCAGCTTTCTATTTTTTTTTTAATGAGAACAAAACTCTTGGGAAGTACTTTTTAGAAAATGTGTTAATTCATTACTACAAGTTGATTTCTGTTGATAATTCTATTTTAAAATACATATCTTCTGTATTTGGATTTATTTTCTTTAAATGAAAATAATTTTTTTTGATTAGTGCTTCCTATTTTTTCCCTTGAGAAGGTAAACAGTTATCTGCATTCAGAATGGAGAACACATCTAGCTGCAGAAAAATGTTTTTGTTTTGTTTTCTTATGAAAGAAATAAAAATAGGAGAGAAGGAGTTAGCAGAGCTGTTAGCTAACCTGGGAAGTCAACATCAAAACATTTTGATATTATTGTCTGGTAAACTTCCTGGTTGTGTCTATGGAGTCATCAGGCGTCAAGAGTGATTTGGAGAGTTCATATTTTTAGCTTGGAATAAAAACAATTTTCTGAAGCATCAACATACATTGATTCTGAAGCATTAATTCTAGGAATTAAAAAAATTGAAATCAAAGTCTTGTTGAGTTCTATTCAGATTTTATATTGATATAATGAGTTATACAATTGTAAGTATGTTTGTATTTTCTAAATTAAATTGTTTCTTTATTTTTATTTTTGTAGGTAGTTTACTTGAAGAAAACACCAGAAGAAGCTTATCGGATACTCTTATCTGGGTCTAATCCACCCTATCTTCCGTTTAGGTATAATTGTAATTTTGTATAATGCCTTAAAATATTCAAAATGCTTTAAAGATAGTGAAAGCAATTTGGTAGTTCTGGCCATCCTGAAGAGATTATCTCATAAATCTTGCATTCTATACAATATGTTCTCCACTGAGCAAATTTCTTTGGGTTTTCCTCATTATACAAGTGAAAATTTAATAATGAGACAGAGGACAAGTCTGGCTCAAATTCTTTCCTGTATATATCCCATACGCTGCTTATATGCTGCTTATTACTGATGATTGCCAATGAACTATATTAATATTTAAGATTTTTATCCCACTTTTACTCTCAAGGCAGAGAATATATGTAATGCATCTTCCTCCTCCTATTTTCCCACAACAACAACCCTGTGAGGTAAGAGAGAGTGACTGGCCCAAAGCCACCCAGCCAGCTTTCATGCCTAAGGCAGGTCTATAAATTTCATAAGTAGGGTTGTGTTCAAATACATTCCAGATTTCTCCAGATCATATTACTGTATAGTCTTGAGTAATGTTTAACAGATTATTCTATCACCTCCTTTATTATTGTGGAAATATGTCTGATTACATACCAAATAAAAGTTCCTTACACAGTTGATAAGCCAAGCAATTCATCTGGCTTGTTTCATTTTTAAAATACTTCTATTAAACAAAATGTACAGGTCTTGATTACTTTCCTAATCTTTATTTTTTTTTCATCCTTCATTCTAATTTAGTCATTAATTTGTCATATTTGTGATTAATAACAGCCTTAAAGAGTTCATCTTTCATTCCAAATCTTCTAAATCTTTTGCTAATTTTCTTAATGGGTTGGATGATATTATCTGACATTATGCAATTCATATATAAGAATATCTTCAATTTATGATAAGGAACAGGTATCAAGTTGGGAAACTATATGTATACATAAAACTCTACAAGAAGGAACAAGGGAAGGAAAGTGTTAGTCACTTGCCCCAGTGAACATGCTTCTTTAATCCAAACAAAGACCTAAATGGTTAAGGGTGGGTAACATATTCCCTCAGACTCTCTTTCTTCCTTGTGTGTTTTCTGGATCTATTCCCTTTTGCTTGTCAACTAACCTCCAGATGGCTGTGTATGCACCACTTTTTCACTGTGCATATATAACACTGTCCCATTAAACTTTGTTAGCTGTTGGCTTCTCATACAATAGTCTGAACGATTCCTTTTAAAGATGCATTACATTTCTGATACCTAGAACATCTTTAAACAATGTAGCTTTCCCCACTAATTAAGCCAATATGCTCACTGTAAATGCCTTGACATGCAGTTTCATCTAGCAATTCTCTCACTCTCTTCCCTCCTTATGGACTACCCCCCTCATTTGCTTCTCTTCACTTATCCTCCTCTTGGCATTCCAAGCCTCAATTTATTTCTAGCCGAATCCTTTAGATCCATGGTTCCCAAACTGTGTGCCATGGTCCCACAATGAATTCAGACTGTGGGATATTTCACATTTTAATGGAAACATATACCAGTACCCAACATCTTCTGAACATAGCACAAACTACTAATATTAGTTTCTGCTTCTCTCAAAAATTTAAAATATCCCACAGTCTCTCTGAACTTGTTTCTTGGATACTGTGAGATGCCGTGGAAAAATTTCTGAGATGCTACAAGCACTGTGAATTGAGAAAATGTAGGAACATCTGGACTAAGCAGTTCCCTGACAGGCAAAACTTCAGCTCTTCATTGTCCATCTTAATTCTTTACACAAAGACTCTTGTATTCTCTCTTTTGCCACTTATTCAGAATATTTTTTACTGCTAGGTAAAGATAAATAATTATTTAAATTTCTATAGCCACCCAACTCAACCAAGTGACTCTGGGCAGCAGTAGACTTCCTATCCCTCTAGTGCCAAATGATCCATTTCTCCATTTTTTTTTAATGATTGCTGAATAAATTGTCGCTGAGGATTATTTGTATTTAGTTTAGTTTTTTTAAAGACTTTTTGCCTTGTACAAGTTCAGTGCAATTATAGGATCGAAATAGATATGAAAAACTCAGGATAGAAACTTAATACGGATATACTGTGACTGGAAGTTATTTCTTTGTTCTTTTCGCAATGACTTTGCAGTGCGTGGTTTAAAAACAAAGTATTGTTACATAAAGTTGGAATTTCTTGATAAACCTTTTGATTAATGCAAAATAACTGCTGATTCAGTTTCCTGAAGAACCTGGCAAAATTCTAAGATCAAAGCTTTGTGAGCCAAAACTATTTGTAATCACCTGGAGTTTAGAGAATTGTCAGGAATGTATTCTGAATAGAAAGTATCAGTATTTAAAATACAGACAGTTCATCAGTGATAGGGAAGTTATTTTAAAGCCTGCTGAGTTGTATATCCCTCTGTATTTTATTAAACCACAAACAAAAATTCATATATGATCTTTGTATTGGAATTGGAGAAAAAAATAATCATTTGATTTTGCAATTTAATGCTATCTCCTGAAATTGATCATTCAGAATATACTTTTAAAAACTATTTGGTTTAAGATAAAGAAAGATCACATTAACATCCCACTCACTGTTATTTTTCAGTTTTTAAGATCATTAGCTATTAGATCTACATATATTTCTTCCTTTTTCCTTTCCCATCCAGTACGGAATATTATTGTAGGCAATTATTTTTGCTCTTTTCAAAGTCTTACCCTTCTGTAAAATAGAACTAAAAATTTTGGGCTTTGCTGGATTTGGGGAACCTTAAAAGCCAAAAAACCCAGAAGGCACCTTTTAATGGAATGCACCAAGTTTGATATTGTCCTTGAATAAAGATGAGCACACCTAATCTTGTGAAATCCTGGAAGCAGGCGTAAACCTTTCATCCTCTCTTCTTCCCTGGATCCTCCCTTCTTTGAAATAATTATGTAAATAAATGCTAGCATGCTCATTTTTTCATCCAGCAATGAATATGGTAGGTGAAGTCTAGATACTTCATGTCTATCACATTCAAACAGTCTATTATAAAAGTTTAAAAATGAGGTAAATGTAATCTGACAAGAATTGTTTTAGATAAATCTCTGCTCTAGCCTGAATTCACTCTATTGTTTCCATTATACTTGCAGATTAAACTCGGTATGATATCTTCTAGAATCTTTCCAAGAATCGAACTGAAAGAAATTGGTTTTTAGTTTGCTGAACCTTTTTTTTTTCTTCCATTTGTAAATAGGATCCATTTGGCACTTCACCAAAAGGCAATCCTGGGCAATTTATGACCCTTGGGCCATATCTGGCCCTTTACCTGTCCCTTTTGGACCTGCGTGAGGTGAATCACAAATTACAAATCAAATGTAAATAAGTCTATGCCGTACATGCAATACAACTGCATTCCATTTTTTTGGAGGTGATTGCTTTTTAAAAAAATGTATACATGTGCATGTGATCATGCCTACCACCTTCACAGGCCTCCACAACAGTCCCAATTTGTTATATGGTCCCTTGGGAAAATGAATTGCCATAAGGTTTTAGCCATACCATCAGCTAGTTCCTAGGATGCAGTTCTGAAGATTTAAATTCACTCAAAAGTAAAGAGGGGCTCCATATTAGATTTCTCTTAATCTCAAACTTCAATTTTGCTCCTTGGTTGGAGCAACATACTTTTTTTTTGTCAGAAAACTCTGAACCAAGATAGGTAGTTATGGCTCTTCTTTATTACACATTAACATTTTCCCATCTTCACTGAGTAACTGGTATCCTGATTCTTTTTGTTTTGTTAACTTCAGAGTTAACAGAGTTAAGAAAGTAAAATCTCTGAAGTCTGAGGTTAGTTAACTCTGTTAACTCTGTTAACCCTGACTTCAGAATTTTTACTTTCTTAATATCAACTTTATAGTTTCCGGCTCTGTACAGCTCTTTTGTGATCTGGCCCTTTTGCATTTCTTGCATGTGTCTTTTGGAGTTTTTATTTTCAGATCTTAACAGAGCTTTTCAGATGGGCACATGGGCTTCTTCTGCAGCCATTTGTTTATTTGTTTGTTTTTCCTAATTGGAACTCTTCTTGTTTTAGGAACTTGTAACCATCTTGATTTCTTTTTCTCATTAGCATTCTCTATGGTAGATTCTACTTGTTATCTGAGTTTATTAAAACATGCCTTTTTGAAGTCCAAGAGATAACTTGGGCTGAGAGAGAGAGGCTGACCCAAAGACATCTAGCTGGCTTTCATGCTTAAGGCAGAAATAAAACTCACGGTCTCCCAGTTTCTAACCTAGTGCCTTAACCCAATGTCTTGAATTATCTAGGACCAGAATGTTTAGTATATTTTAATTGGTTTTTTATTATTAACGTTTGTATTACATGTATTTTTATCGTTCGCTGTTCACCGCCCTGAGTCCCTTAGGAATAGGGCGGTATATAAATTTAATAAATAAATAAATAAATAAATAAATAAATAAATAAATAAATAAATAAATAAACCCAGAGGTGTCAAACTCGCGGCCTGCAGGCCAGATGCTGGCCACGCCCACCCACTGGCCATGCCTAACCCCTTTTTAGTGAAGGGAGAGAAAATCACAATACATCACGTGACAAAAACCTGACACCGCAAGTTTGACACCCATGCCTTAACCACTAAATCAAATAGTCTATCACAAGAACAAATTTTCCACAAAAGGTTTTATTTATTTATTTTGACACTTCAATTTTGCTGTGGGGAAAAAAATGTCAAAACAGGTCAAGCAAAGACTCTGTGGAGTTTGTAGAGGTGAGATTGAATAGATACTTAATAGGAACAAGGGGAGATGCTGATCTAGAACTCACCCATGGCAGTCATTGGTAACCCCTAGGTCCATCCACTGAGCAGATATCTGCTCTGGCTTTGTCTATAGAAACTAGAGGGGAAACCAGAAACACAAGTCAGCCAAATGTTTGTCTTCTATCATGAAGGGAAATTGTCAGAATTAAGGGGGCCAGCAAATGATAGGTGAAGGAAAATTTTAACCAATAGGAGAAGTGAGAAATGCAGGTTATTTATTCAAGCAA